GCATATACGATATTACTGCGAAACTTATCTCCAAACGAGCAGCAGAACATCCGGTCTTATCGAGGATACGGCAACTCCGCCGAGCTGGCGTACGACCACTTGAAGAGCCTATATCAAGCAACAGACAGTGTTAATCAAAGCCGTCTCATGGCACAGCTGATAACAGTGGAAATCAAACCCGGCGAAAAAGGAATGGCGTATATTAGCCGTTGTCGTGGACTGCACGACAGACTCCTTCGATGCGGAGGAGCAATATCCGAAGAAGCCTTCGTAACAGTCACCATTGCCGGCCTCGGTCCTCATTGGCGCTCCACTCGAGCACTCCTTCGAGCTCACGGGAAAATCTCCGAAGCAGCACTCTGCGCCGAAATTCACGCTGAACAGCAGGATATGGTTCTACACGAGGAAAGACACAAGAAGAAAGGGTCAGCACCAGAATTCGCGTTTCACACTCAGCGACGCTACAACAACAACAACAATCGACAAAACAACCGTCAGACTCAACAATACGTCCCACCGTTTTGTCACCTCTGCAAGACGTCTGGACATCCTCCCACACACTGCCCGAATCAGCAGCAGTCGACGACACCGCAACGTCAACTTCATCCTTCAAGCAGCCAAGTAGCTTCTACGCAGGCACATCCCACCAATCAAGTGCAGTCTTCAACGTCTTCAGCGACAAAACCTGCACAAGGAACAAGAAACATCGTAAGCTGTATGAAAAGAACGACAGACCCCTGCATCACCAGATCACCACCGTCCTACTCACCAGAAGAACAACTCGACGAGCGCACCCCTCGCCGCGAATCACTGGAGCCCAACCCAACGTATGCAGCCATCGCCCAGAGCGAGCCGTCCGGGAAAGACACTTGGTTCTTGAACAGTTGCTGCGGACAGCACATGTGCTCCTCGGGTCGCTTCGTTCAACAGGAACACCAACTTCAGCTCTAAGTTGTAATCACCGTCGCCAACAACCAGAATCTGCACATACGACGACAAAGGATTGTACAACTTCAGTCTCAAGAAACTAACGTTATTTTACAAATGTCTAAAGTTATAATTACAGAAGGACTCGGCTACAACTTACTCAGCATCAGTCAACTAATGGCGAAGGGTATTCACCTCGAAGCAGACAGCACCACTCAGGAGTTCAAGTTATTCCACGGAAAAGGCGGACTCTATATCGGCAAGGCAGTTTTGAAGAAGAACATCTTCGTTCTTGACTTCGTTCTGGACCAAGGTACCGCCGACAGCGACGCCATCGTCAACTTCGCTTCTTGGACACATCCACCCGACCTCGATCCCGACTTCAGTCCTCGAGGATTTTGGTATTCACATACCATACCTGAAGCAGAAAGAACACGGGCATTAGCAACAATCCGGCAAGAAGAGACATCATCGACTGCAGCAGCAACAACATCAACAGCAGCAGAGACAACATCGGCAGAAGCAGCAACACTTACGGCACCAAACGCGGGCTCTTCAACGGCACAAGATCTCATCGACGACACTCCACCGACTCCTGCGCAGCAATTAACTCCCACTCCACGCGAAGTTCATAGAAGTGCCAACTTCACCGCGGGATTTTATTCCAACTCCGACCTGTACAGGCGCTCACCCGGACACCGTGCGAGCGAATCACTGTGGCACGAAAGACTGGGACATCCAAGCAACGCGACGTTAAATAACACAGTTAAGGCAGCAGTACTCGACAAAGACTCCCTACTTCTACCCGACGGCAGAGAACTCCAACGAGTTCGAGGCACATGCTTTACGTGCCCAGAAGTTGACTTACCTCATCAACCATTTGTCCCTCACCACAATCCAAGCGCGCCAGCCTACGCACCACTCGAGAAAGTATACAGCGACATCCTGTATACTCGCGAACAAGGACAAGGAGCATATAACTACGTGATTACTTTCATCGACACCGCCACCCGATACGTCTGGCACCTCAACCTCCCAAGTCGCGACATGGCCTTCGAAGCCTTCGTCGCCTGGCTACCTGTGGCAGAACGAGAATCGGGAGCAAAGCTAAAAAGCTTCCAGTCAGACGGAGGAGGGGAATATCAGTCACAAAGGTTCAGGCACTACCTCGCAGAACGAGGCATCAAACGACTCATCTCGCTTCCCTACGCCCATCAACAGCAAGGCGTGGCAGAACGGATGAATAGAACTCTCCAGAACACCATGCGCAAACTGTTGCGTGGCATGCGACTGCCCAGCCACCAGTGGCCTGAGGCGATGGACCACGCTGTCATGCTGCACAACTTGCTCTCGTCATCATCGCTCTCGAACAACGCATCACCGCACCTGCTGTGGACAGGAAAATTGGGCAACACAAAAATGTTACGAGTTTTCGGGTGCATGGTACAGTACCGACCGCACACTGCGAGAGCTGGAAGATTTTCTCAACGTGCACAGTGGGGACTACATCTGGGCATCGAAAAGCATTACATCGCATGGAAGATTTTCGGCATCCACTTGAAAGAAACAATAGCAGCACGTGATGTCATCTTCTACGAGCGCCTCGCACTTCAAACGTACCTGGACAACCTAGCAGCAAATCGAGACCTCACGAGCGGATTCCGTGGCAACCGAGCTTTCGCCTCAGCAGCAGACGAAGCTGACTAGGATGAGCAGAACGTGGACGGAGCTTCGGAATAGGCCGGACCTCTCCCGTATTGCTCCGTGCCCATCCCGATGGATGACGAAAACCCTCGCGAAATAATCAACGCTGAAACCTACTTCGACTTCGCCGACACCGGTTACGTTACACCCCAACCGGTCGACACCAACGTCTCCGAACGCATAGGACCAAATTTCTTACCGGATCCAGAAGCAGGAGATGAAGCAGCTTATCCCGAGGACGCAAATCTCCCCCGCTACACACAGAATGGACTGCAGATACTGGGACTCGTTACTGCTGTCCACGGAGCAGCACCACCCAAGGAGCCGGCCAACATCCAGCAGGCTCTGGGGGGGGAACATAAGGAAAAATGGCGAGAAGCCATGGATAAAGAGTTAAAGGTGCTGCAAGAACGCAACACCTGGAAAATTGTGCCTATCGGAACGGCACGGAACAAGACCATTCTCACGGGAAAATGGGGTTTCCGCGTGAAAACAAAAGCCGATGGAACAATCGACAAATTCAAAGCACGCTGGGTTGTGCGTGGCTTCGACCAAGAGCAAGGGCGAGACTTGACGGAAACATTTGCATCAGTAAGCCGACATACCTCAGTGCGGATTCTCCTCACGATAGCCGCCATGAACCGGAAGAAGCTTCTGCAAATCGATGTCGCCAATGCTTTTCTCTACGCCCCTGTCGATGCCGAGATCTTCGTCGAACTCCCGCACGGGTCTAACGCAGGCCCAAACCAAGTCTGTCAGCTGGAAAAATCGTTGTATGGATCAAACAAGCCCCGAGAGTGTGGCAGCAGCACCTTCACGCCCGCCTAATCCGCATCGGATTCCTCCAACTACCGCACGACCAAGGAATGTACCGACTCACGAAGGGTACTGACTATATCCTACTCATCGTCTATGTGGACGACCTCCTCTACATAGGCTCTACCGACGAGATAACAACTTGGTTTGAAGGGGAGCTGCAGCGGGATTTGACACTCACCGTCGCGACTACCGTGACACAGTACCTGGGACTGGACATTCAAGACGGTGACAACGCAATCTACCTCAGCGCCGAAAAGTACACAGACACTATCGCTAAACGATTCGGACTCACTGCAACCGTCATCTCCACGCCATACCGCTACACCGACGGAAATCGCAAAGTCCCCACCCTACTCAAACCCGCCGGCATTCGCGACCACCAACGAAAGTTAGGCTGCCTACTCTTCGCAGCCGTCACTTGCCGACTGGATCTATCCTACTCAGCTAGTCAACTCGCTACCTACATCAAGAAGCCTGAAGCAGAGCACATGCTTGAACTCGACCGAGCACTTCACTACCTCGTCAGCACTCCGACAATCGGGCTAACTTACCACAAAACCGGAACTACAACACCTAAGTTAATCGACTACGTCGACGCCGATCACGCTGGAGACTCCGACAACAGACGACCTCGAACTGGCTACATCTACAGACTCGAACCTATCGGGCCTATCTCATGGCAGTCGAACAAGCAAGAGCTAATCGCTCTCTCCTCAGCAGAAGCAGAATATATCGCACTCTGCTCAGCCACCAAGGAAGGGCTATATCTTCGCGAACTACTGGAGGAAGCAAAATTGGCTCAGTTACCCAGCTTCTCCCTCTTCTGCGACAACCATGGATATTCGCATAGCGAACAAAAATGGGTTCGCGAATCGAACTAAGCACATCGCCCTCCGGTACTTCTTCGTAAAAGACGAAATCGAGAAGGGAAGACTCGAGCTATCCTATTGTCCCACATCCGAGATGGCAGCCGATTAGTTGACCAAGAAACTCGGAAAATAGAAGCTCGAGTACTGCATGCTGCTGACTGGACAAGAACACGTCATCAGCAGCGACACTCCAGAAGCGAAGGGGAGTGTTGGAAACAAGTAACTTAAAACGCTTATGAAGTATCGAAGTATCGACACGAAACGAAGCAGACTACAGTGAAGCAATTCGAGTCAATCAAAGCAACCGCTGGAGGTTACGCGAAGGTCAAAGGTCGCCGACCTTTGACTCGACGAAAACTAGAGTGCGACAGCAAGGACGCATAACTGACTCAATATTGAGCAGTTACCCGAGTCGACACTGTATCGAATCGCAACAGCAAAAACAGTTAAACTAGAACTTTTCATATTCCTTTATAATCATATAAAAGGCTTGTATATCTTTACTATTATCAACTTATCTTGTTCTCACACACTAGTACAAGGTGGTTCAGCAACTCTGATATTAAACGCTTCCGCAACTACAACATTCCTACTTCAACCTCGATCTTAGCCTTGAAAGATCCTAAGGGCATTTCTCAGCCCAACAATTTACACATCATGGAGACTCGGTTGCGGGGCCCATTAGGTGGGCTCTGTCGCCTTTCGAGAATCTCCGTGTTTATAAACGCCAATTGGGAGAGGTTCTGAAATGCATGAAAGGATATGGGAGAGAGAGGGAGAGGCCATGTAATGAGGTTTCTGTGGGAATGGTTCTCTGGGCGAGCTCAAATCCAGGAAGCTACCTGGAAGGAGAAGCTTGAGAAGCAAATACTGCATTGTCACGAAGCTATCTGAAACGAGAAATCCGGAGGTTTCTTTGAAGGCTATGGCTCAAACGAGTAAAAAAAAAAAAAAAAAACGCACGCCATGTTGCTAAATTTCCTGGTTGGTTGTAGATCCAATCAAGAGCACGTGACGTGAGGCTCACGAGAGCCATGAGCACGGCGTATTAGTGATGGTAGATCCACCTGGGGGGGGATGAAGGATGTGAGAGGATAGGAGGAGAGGGGAGGATGGGGCATTTGGTTTATTGGATGAACCATACTCACACGAGGCTCACGAGTGCCATTAGCATGGCATAGATTGAGCATAGATGGTAAATCCAGTCCGGGAGAGAACGAGTGAGATGGGAATGACCGTATCAACAAGACCCGTCTCTCTCCCCTGCACACTCCCAGGTGAACGCGGGAGCAAAAACAGCAATTTGGACAAACTCAAAAACAGTTTCCCACTCCCCTTACTTGATCCTCTTCCCCTCTCCTCCTACGTACCCTCTTCTCCTCTCTTCCACTCTTCCGTCTCTCTTTTCATCCCCCTCTCCCCTCACCAGGGGCGGATGTCACTGCCATTGATGCGAAGAATGTTTTCCCGAAGGGCCAGGCTCGTGTAGAACAGCAGCAGCCACGCCTGGGGGAAGGGGAGGAGGGAAGTGGAAAGAAGGGAGGTGGAAGAATGGTGTAAGTGTGCGCACTGGACTGCCTTTTTGCAGAGCCAGGCTCGTGTAGAACAGCAGCAGCCACGCCTGGGAGAAGGGCGAAGAGGGAGAGGGGGTCGGGAGGGGGGATTGGCGAGAGGAGGAAATGGGGTGAAATTGGGGAGAGTGTTTGCACTAATCTGGTTTCCCGCAAAGCCAGGCTCGTGTAGAACAGCAGCAGCCACGCCTGGGGTTAGGGTGCAGGGGACGAGGGGATCGGGTGCGGGAATTGGAGAGAGGAGGAGATGGGGTGGAGTTGGGAAGAGTGTGCGCACGTGATAAAAGTTGTATTTTGAGACGTCTCAAAGATACTGCTTTCTTGCAGAGTCAGGCTCGTGTAGAGCAGCAGCAGCCACGCCTGGGGTAAGCGGGCGGGGAGACGGGGGAAGGGGGTGGGGGAGGAAGGAAGGAGGGTTTATGGTGTTAGCTTGTGCTGCAAGGCTTCCCGCAGAGCCAGGCTCGTGTAGAACAGCAGCCGCCACGCCTGGGGAGAACGGGAGGGGGATAGAGTGTTTGCTTGCAAAATCAACCACCAGTGCTTCACCCCCAGTGCCCCTCGTTCTCCAGTGCCCCTCGTTCTCCAGTGCCCCTCGTTCTCCAGTGCCCCTCGTTCTCCAGTGCCCCTCGTTCTCCAGTGCCCCTCGTTCTCCAGTGCCCCTCGCTCTCCAGTGCCCCTCGCTCTCCAGTGCCCCTCGCTCTCCAGTGCCCCTCGCTCTCCAGTGCCCCTCGCTCTCCAGTGCCCCTCGTTCTCCAGTGCCCCTCGCTCTCCAGAGCCCCTCGCTCTCCAGAGCCCCTCGCTCTCCAGAGCCCCTCGCTCTCCAGTGCCCCTCTCCCCCAGTGCCCCTCTCCCCCAGAGCCCCCTCAGTATCGGATCATCCACAGAGGCCCCTTCCACTTAGCGTTGCCTCCCCAGTGCCCTCAACAGCCCCCCACCTGGTACACGTGCACCACGAGGCCTGGCAAGCACCACTGGTTCATGGCCTGCTTCGCTGCCAGCAGCAGAAATTCGACCCACCCAGGTGAGACGTCGATGCACTCCAATGATGCCCCTTTCACACGCCTCACACGTTGCTCCCTGTACCCCCTCCCTCAATAGCCCCTCCCCTAGTAATCCCTCCCCCACCTGGTATACATGCACCACGAGCCCTGGCAAGCAGTGCTGGTTCATGGCCTGCTTCGCTGCCAGCAGCAGCGGCGGCGCACCCAGAAAGATGAGAGCCGTGCGATCCTGCCACGTGCAAAGCAGGGGTAGAGGACGACGCAAGGGGGGAGAGCAGGAGAGAGGAGAGAGCAGCGGGAGCAGGAGATGGGGCAGAGAAGGAGGGCGCGGAGAGCAGACGAGGTGGGCGAGCAGAAGAGCGGAGAGAGCAGGAGCGAAGTGAGGCCTTCCAATGAAGCAGCCACTGACCCTGTGATGAAGAAAGCACTCACTCAACCTGGAGCTGTTTTACACCCCTTGACCTCTAGCGAGGCATCTTATAATGAAGCAACCACTCACCCGGTAGCTGTTGTACTCCTCCTTGACCTTGAACCTCACATCCCTGCGAGATGACCGCACATTCACATGGCCCAGGAACAACCACAGGAAGAAGCCTGGAGGGGGGTAGAGAGGATGGGCATGGGCATGGGGATGGGGATGGGGATAGGATGGGGTTGAGCATGGGGATGAGGATGGGGATGGGGATGGGGGTTGGGATGAACATGGGCACGGGGACGAGTACGATGAGCATGGGGATGGGCATGGGGATGGGCATGGGGATGGGCATGGGGATGGGCATGGGGATGGGCATGGGGATGGGCATGGGGATGGGCATGGGGATGGGCATGGGGATGGAGTGGGGATGGAGTGGGGATGGAGTGGGGATGGAGTGGGGATGGAGTGGGGATGGAGTGGGGATGGAGTGGGGATGGAGTGGGGATGGAGTGGGGATGGAGTGGGGATGGAGTGGGGATGGAGTGGGGATGGAGTGGGGATGGAGTGGGGATGGAGTGGGGATGGAGTGGGGATGGAGTGGGGATGGAGTGGGGATGGAGTGGGGATGGAGTGGGGATAGAGTGGGGATGGAGTGGGGATGGAGTGGGGATGGAGTGGGGATGGAGTGGGGATGGAGTGGGGATGGAGTGGGGATGGAGTGGGGATGGAGTGGGGATGGAGTGGGGATGGAGTGGGGATGCGGATCATTGGCTCACCGTTGGCCTTGTGTGGCAGCAGCGCCGCTATATCGCCCTCATACACCATGCTCCTGGCCCGCACCAGATCCTCCTCCATCTGACGGCTCAAACGCATTATCAGGGAGTGGGAGAAGTAGGGGGGGTTAAGAGCGTCACAAACAGTATCGCCACCATGATCCTGGCTCGCACCATCTGATGACTCACACGCGTCAACTGGAAAGCGGATATAGAAGCAATGAAGGGAACGTACACCGCGCTCCAAATAGAGATGGACTTGGACGGATACTCAATCTTGAGTGCCATGATGGCGCAAAAAAATGAGGGTCACGGAATCATACCTTCTTCGATAATCCTCAACAGTAACGATAACAGTGACGGTGACGGTAACAGTGACGGCGACGGTGACTGGATGAAACGGAACCTGATCTGTGCGTGCCTGCACCTGGACGCGATGGCGCGCGAGGTTAATTCTAGGACGATCCTCATTTCAGCAACGCTCTCTCGCCGAAAATTATCTCCAATCTTTCTCCCCGTTCCATCAATCTAATAAGCTTATAAATAAAATCCCTGATTGTCTTAAGAATCTGTTGCTTCTCTACGAATCTCACGAGTCACCTGCTCTGCGACTTCAGGCGAAACCTCGTCTTTCGCCGCTGCGAGCTCTTTCGCAGCGCGCGAAGCTCCTTTTCAAGCGCGATCGCACGCTCGCCGAGAGCGTCGCCTTCGCTCTTGAGTCGCTGGCTATACCCCGCCGCTGTTTCCTGCAGCGCCTTGCATCGTTCCATCACCGCCTCCACGTCGGACAGAAGCTTCTGACCAGCTTCCGTCACGCCCTCCGGTAACGATGCCATGTGGCCTGGGCTTTCTGAGCTGCCAGAATCCGCCATGGCTGGACGAATCTACGAGGAAAAGGGTAGAAAATAGTAGGTCTTATTTCCTAAAGAGATTAATGGTCTAGATGGAATGGTTTAGAGACGAAAGATCGGCTGAAACTACGCATGCAACTAATGGTGGTGAGGGGCTAAACGCGTGAAGACTCTGATCTTTCAAGAATGATCACTATTGACAGCAGCCAAGAAATGGAAGAACGCTTCGACAATCCCAAGATTGTTGGAGCCAAGGACTGAACGGTCAAGATCGGCGAAGTGGAGGGGAAATCACCGCAGAGAGGAATGGACGGAGCACCATCACATTGTCAACGGTCAGGAATTGATCTGGCTTGCAGTTGAACCTGGAGCTGGTTGGGCCAGACATGAAGCACTTTTGGCTTTCCCGAGGCTCACGGCGAGGTTCGTGATTTGCTTGTATCGGGGTGTGCTTCGCAAATTGAAGTGCATGTATCTTCACTTGAGGGCAATGGGATGTGCTGTACGTTGAGGCCCACTGTATTTCTTGATAGACTGACGCTCGGTAACTCTCTTCAGTTTCGTTTATACCACCTGCTTGAAACGCGTCCACGTCGAGCTGATGTCGTTGCTCCACCCAGTCAGCACTTGCCACCAGTCCAGCAGCTGTCGTAACTTCGAAGAAGTTATGCTCCTCGCAACATTCGCGGAGCTTTCCAGGAGATGGCTGGGAGAAACGCCAGTCAAGAAACGACAAAGATCCTCCGAGTCGCCCATGTCCACGCGGCGCTTCTTGGAGCAAGTGCGACCCGAAACGATGACTCTGCGAAGCCTCGCACCAGCAGTGTCTTGCACGCAGCGCAGTCCCCAATGTGGTGGTCTGTGTTCGCAGTCTCCATTCATCGCCAGCCCAATCTGTCGGTGCCGCCGAGTCATCGAAGTGATTGCGACGGGGTGAGCGACGAAAGCGACGCACCTGGCCGACGAAAGTCACAAGCTACACGCAGTCGCACAGTCTGCGAAACCCACCACGGCAGCTGCAGACAGCGCCAAGCCTCCCTCACGACTCACCTCTGCGACCATCCACTACAAATAGACCGTCCCTCCGACCACAATTCATCACACCAGCTGCAAAAATAGCCCCTTCTCGCTCAATCTTTCCTACTGCTAAACCTAGTAGGCACTACTAATCGAAAATCAGCAGCAATTGGCATTACTACGAGATTCGACTTCTCTCCCGGTTCACCAATTATAAACGGATTTTCTCACTTCTACCAGCACAATGGCGCATTTCTCTCTCCAGACTCCCGCCGGGCAGTATGAGCACGACGGTCGCAATGCGCAGTCCCTTGGCTCCCAGCGCAGCTACTTAGACGACTCTGAAACGCGAATCTGGATCGACGAGACCGCAAACGCTAGCTCAGGGTCTATCAACGTTCTCTCCATCCCAACAGGCCGCCTCGAGGACTATTTCGTTCTGGATTCTCACGTGTTGGGGTCTGGTCAGTTCGGGACCGTTCGCCGCTGCACGGAGCGCGCCACAGGCTCGCGCTTCGCCTGCAAGACCCTCTTAAAGGACGGGCTTAAGACCGAGGCAGAGCGCGACGAGATTCGCAAGGAGATTAATCTGATGCAGAGCGTTTCGATGGGCGGCGCGAACGCAGGGATTGTGCAGCTGCGCGCCGTTTTCGAGAACGATGTCGCAGTGCACCTCGTGATGGAGCTCTGCGAAGGCGGCGAACTGTTCGACGAAGTTGTGCGACGTGGGCGATTCCACGAACGCGACGCCGGGCACGTTTTCGCGCAGATCGCAGCGGCCGTCGCACACTGCCACGCCCGCGGCGTTCTCCACCGTGACTTGAAACCCGAAAACATTCTGCTCGTGCGGGACCCATCTGTACCGCTTTGCGCCGCACCCCTGATCACAAAAGTCGCAGACTTTGGCCTCGGCGTTGCGCTTGAGGCAGGCGAACGCACGAAAGGAGTCGCAGGGTCGCCGTTTTACATCGCACCCGAAGTCCTCACAGGCGATTACTCTCTAGGAGCCGACGTCTGGTCGCTCGGTGTCATTCTCTACATTCTCCTCAGCGGCGTGCCGCCTTTCTGGGGCGCGACTGATAAGGACGTTTTCGTGGAGGTGCTTCGAGGCGTGGTTGATATGAGCGGTCTGGAATGGGAGGGAGTGTCGGAAGAGGCAAAGCATCTCGTGCGGTGCCTGCTTCAGTCGGACGCTTCGAGAAGGCCGTCAGCTGCCGCTATCCTCTCCCACCCTTGGATCCTGCGCGCGTGCCGCATCAGCAGCGCGGGTGCTCGCCAGCTGACCCCTGTTTCGACATCAGGAGCAGCGGACACGATTATGGCGTAAGTATTCGATCCTATCGTCAACTATAGCTAGGGTTGGGGTGTAGAACATTCGGGAGGCGCTAGTCTGTGTCGCACAGGGGAATGCCAAGCCAAGCCTCCTGGAGTCGCATGACCGTTTGCGAAGGCTTTGTACTGCAAGGGGAGGCTTGTGAAGGGAGGCTTGGTTTGGCATTACTCCCTAGATATCTGTACACCTCACTTTTGTGTGCTTTACTTCTATATGACGTCTTGTTCACATAACAATTACCTTTCTCAGCACCGCCACTGGTGCCACAAACCCGTGACTGCATTGGAGAGGAAATTGAAAAGATGCTTCAGAAAAGAGAAGCGTCACTGATATAACAAGATAATAGTATCCATGATATCCAGAAAAAAAATCTGGAAGGCTAAGTTGCTCATATGGAGTAGCTGCAATGGTGGGAGTGCCGGGCATTATTGCAGCGCAAAAGAATGGAAATCTGAATAATTTCTACTACCCTTATTTACACATCATGGAGAGTCGGTTGCAGGCCCATTGGGTGGGCTCTGCCTCCTTTCAAGAATCTCCGTGTTGATAAAAGCCAGTTGGGAGAGATTCTGAAATGCATCCATGGATAAGGGGGGGAGAGAAGAAGGGAAACAGGAAGGAGTGAAGGCGCCTCAGAAGTCGTTGGGTGGGCTCTGCCGCCTCTCTCAAGTTATCTGAAAGGAGAAACCCCAAGGCTATACATGCTATCCATCCTAGCTGTTCTACCCATCAAACCCGGGCAGCATACGGTACCTTGAAAGAGAAGCCTGAGAAGTAACCACGTTCGACTGGAATGCCGGCATGTCACCCGCCTCGTCGTGCTTTATTAGCCTATCAGCGTATAGGTCTACCCATTGATACATCAAAGCATGGCCGGCATCATATGGTACCTTGAAGGAGAAGCCTGAGAAGTCGACCGCGTTGGACTGGAACGCCGGCATGTCACGTGCCTCATCATGCTGATGGGGGAGAGACATGCCAGGGGGGAGCAGGGGGGGTTGTAAGGGATGAGAGAGGAGTGAGGGGATGAAGGAGGGGAGCGGGGAAAGATGGTGGAGGGAAAGGAGGGGGGGTGTGAGAGGGGAGAGGTGGGTGAGAGAGGAGGAGGCAAACGCACAGAAAAGGGATCGGGTCATGGGGTTTGCGTTAGCAGATGCGTTGGTGCCTTGAGTATGCCCAACCCATCCCTCCAGATGCCCCCTTCTTGACTCAAAGGATGGTTGGATGCCTTTGTGCTGAGCCACCTCCCCCATCCCCCACCTCACCCTTTCCATCTCCAGGTCTTCTGAATCACTCGTGCTGCCGCCGCTGCTGCTGTAGTTGCTGCTGCGCACATCTCCCCCCGCCCCGCCCACCACGCCCTCCCCTCCTTCCATTGCGTTGGCCCCATAACGGCATGCAAAGTAGCTCGTGTCGTGTGCGTTCTCCGGCTCGGGCACAAACGGGGGCTGGCAGGAGAGAGGGGAAGCACATCGGCAAGAGAGGGACATAAATCAGTTGCTTCTGAACCCATCTGTCCCTACCAAGCCCCCCACGCCCTCCCCTCCCCTCCTTCCTGTGCATTTGTCCCGTACCGACAGGCAAAGTAGCTTGTGTCGTGTGCGTTCTGTGGCTCGGGAATGAATGGGGGCTGAAATGGAGGGAAAGGAGGGGATTCAGAAGAGAGGACACTGGAGCAGTTGCTGCTGTGGCCCTAGAGCAGCAGCGGCAATGGGTGCAGCAAGTGCAGGAAAAGAAAGGGTCTAACCTTTTCAGAGGAAAGCGTGTCCCAGTCAATGTCGCGAAAGAAGGGATGCCTCTTGATCTGTAGGACATGTGAGAGGGGCAGACGGGACAAACACGTCACGTTTCCAGCAAACCAAAGAGCCAAAAAAACAAAAAAAAACAAAAAAAAACCACAGAGCAAAGGTTAAGTAACAGAGTGAGTAACTGGACTGAGTAAATAACAGCAGAGTGAGTGCACGGAGAGCAAGGGAGAGAAATGGTGTTTAGGAGTGGCAAGGGGTGGCTGACCTCGTCTGCTCCCTGGGCGCCTAGACGCTCATCTGGGTCGAACATGAGAAGTCTGCGGAACACAGGAGAGAGCAGCAGGCAGGGAAACAACAAGGCTAATGGGATAAGTGAGGGCTTTTCCTCCTTTTCCTTTTGTTTCTCTCCTTTCCCCCCCCACTCCCCCATCCCCCTTCCCTTTTTCCAGCCAGTCACTGGGATAAGCGTAGTGCAGCGTACGCATTAAAATATGAATTTGATTGCCACAGGCACGTGAACAAAGTGTATTTTTGAGATGTCTAAAAAATGCACCTACCTGTAAATGATGTCCGTTACCTCAAATGACATGTCTTCCTTTTCTTCTAACAAGTTCACCTTGACCTGGCTTGGGAATTCGCATGGCACATACCTGTCAATCAAATCTTTCGCCATGTCCTCTGGCACGGCAGGCCATGTGATGGCTTTTGAGGCACCTCGCAAGTCACAGGCAATGCATTTGAAGTCGACTCAAAAGTTAGGCAATCCACTTACCTGTCAATGAGGTCCTTGGCCTCGTATGACATGTCTTCTGGCTTTTGCGACACTTCAGGCTTGGGAATTAGGACTTGGCATGGCAGAGGCAATGTGCATACCTGTCAATGAGGTCCTTGGCCTCCCTCGTATGACATGTCTTCTGGCACGGCTGGCCATGGGATCCCGCGGTTGAGGCGCTCAAAAGTCGCACGCACGCAATGCACACATACCCATCTATGAGGTCTCTCGATGCGCTTACCTGTCAATGACGTTCTTGGCCTCGTATGACATGTCTTCTGGCACCGCTGTTGTTCGCTCATAGGAGAAGGGCTGCACTGTGTGAAGTACGACGCTCACCTGTTCCTTGCCACAGGCAATCCACATACCTGTCAATAAGGTCTTTCGCCTCGTATGACATGTCTTCTGGCACGGCTGGCCATGTGATGTCGCGGTTCAATATGTTGTCAAAGATTTGCTTATAAGGGGGATAAGCGAAAATGGTACCGGGATGGAAATGGGAGGAGGGATAGTTTGTTGTCATGGATTCACTTGTAAGGAGGATACAGCGGACACCGGGAGGATGTGGGAGGAACGCGAGGGACAGTGCGCACAAAACAAAGGGTTCTGAAATGTATCAGAACTCAGAAGTGTGCATGCACACGAGGGTGGATTGGGGGGCAGGGGGAGAAGGGGGGGGGACGGGGGGGGGGGGGGGAGGGAGGGTGTTGTGCGAGAGCATTGCAAGCGGGAGACTATTGCAAAATTCCATTAACAGTGTGCATGCACACAGGGGAAGAGAGGTACCTGAGGAGAGGGGGCCGAGTTTTGAGTCGACTCAAAACTCGAATATTCCATCAACAGTGTGCGTGCACACAGGGGGAGAGAGGTACCTGGGGAGAGGGGGCGTTGAAGGGCGGGATTCCCACCAGCAGCTCGTACAGCAGCACTCCCACTGACCACCAGTCGGCTGCAGGGCCTGGGAGGGCGAGTAGATGGGGAGCAGAGAGCAGAGAGTTATTTACGGAGAGGGTACAGCGATCCCCTCCAAACAAGGTGGGATTCCCACCAGCAGCTCGTACAGCAGCACTCCCACCGACCACCAGTCTGCTGCTGGGCCGGGGAGGAAGAAGTGGCAGGTAAACAGGGGAAGAGGGGGGGAGAGGGGGGGAAGTTTCAGAGTCTTGGGGTGCAGGGCCGGGTTCTAAGAATTGAGGAAACATGGGGTATGTATGTGTATCATCATAACACCCAAGGGGCCATGCCACACACCACACGGCACCGCACTCCACCTCACAAAACCGCGCACCGTCTGAAGGCCGAGCATAATCTCTGGAGCCAAGTAGTCTCGCCTCCATACCATACCATGCAATACCCACCGCACCGAGCCACATCACCCAGTACCGCACTCCACCTCATGAAACCGCGCACCATGGGGAAGGCCGAGCAGAATCTCTGGAGCCAAGTAGTCTGGAGTTCCCACTGCTTCCACTGCCACCCTCCCTCCTCCCTCCGCTCCTGCTCCCCTGCTCTCCCCTCCCTCGGTTCCTCTTCCTCCTCCCCCTCCTCCCACTGCAACTCCCACTGCTTCCACTGCCACCCTCCCTCCTCCCTCCGCTCCTTCTCCCCTGCTCTCTCCTACCCCAGAACCACCTGTTGCGGCATCAGCAGCAGCTGTAGCGGCACCAGCACCAGCTGTAGCAGCAGTTGGATCTGTGGCATTTGACATGGCAGCAGCAGGAGCAGTAGGAGTAGGTTCACTCTTGGCCTTCTCCTCCCGATTACCCTCCCCATACTCCTCCGCATTCTCCTCCCCATGATTCTTCAGGCCTGCCCCTCGGTTGTCCACACAGTCCCCCCCTACCTTGCGCTCATCACTCTCAGCGCTGCCGTTCCCGTTGCTGTTCCCCCAGCCATTGCCACTGCCTGTGCTACCCATCCCCTCACTCCCCTCGCCCGCCCCTGCCAGGCGTCTCAGCAGGGAGGCGTGCTGAGCCTGCTGCTGCCACCGCTGTGTGATGATCTGAGACGGAGACGAACAGTGCATCCCCCCTCCCCCTCCCCCTCCGCCTCCTCCTCCTCCCCCTCCTCCTCCGCTTCCTCCTCCTCCCCCACCCCCTCCCCCTGCAAAGTGCGAAGGCGAGGAACAAAACGACCCCCCTCCCCCTCCTCCTCCGCCCCCTCCTCCCAACCCCGAAGGATGCAGAGGGGAAGAGCACCCAGATGCATGCAGTGGGGAGGCATATCCGGGAGCATGCAGGGGGGAGGAATAGCCAGACGCCGAATTGGAGTGGGGGCCGGAGAGAGTGGAAGGGGGTCCAGAGCGGGGAGAGGGGAATTCCTGCAGGCTGGATGCGGTCCAGAGCGGTGAGTCTGCTGCTGCTCCTTCGGAGCTGACGCTGTATGAATGGGGGAAGAGCTTGCCTGTGCATGGGGATTGGGAGGAGAGGAGGAGACTCATTCAGTGGGAGGAGAGGAGGAGACTCATTCATTGGGGGATTCTCCTCCACTGAGATGAATGAATCAGTGGGGCAAGAGGGGCGAGTCTGAGCCTGCTTCTTCTGAATGAAGGCTGTAAACTTGGGGAGAGCACACCAGGGGAGGTGCTTACCAGGGGAGGAAGGCGCGGAGGCGTGGTGGGAGGGGATGGGCGGGTTCTGATTGGTGGAGAGGTCCCCGGCACTGTTGATCAACCCCACCCTTGACAGCCCAAAGTCCGTCAGCTGTATGTAGAGCAGTGTGGGTGGGTGGTGAGGGGTGAGGAGGGGTGATGAAGAGAGATGAGGGGTGATGAGGGGTGACGGGAGGTGACGGGCACACTAAGGGCACTGTTGATGAGGCCGACCCTGGGCAAACCGTAAGTCCGTCTGTCAGCTGTAGAGCAGGGGGGATGGTGAGTGAGGGGTGATGGTGTGTTGGTGGGGCAAGGTCTGACAGGCGAGCCATCTCAAGCAAAATCAAAACCAAACTCAGCAATGTTTGGAAGCACAATGAAACGAGGGCATGCACTGCACATCTCACCTTGATGTGCCCCTCGTGTGCAATGAGCAGGTTGTCTCGCTTGATGTCCCGATGCACCACCCTCAACCAAAGAGTTTAGACATTAGAGGCTCCTCAAAAGTCATGAAGCAGCAGAATGAGCGTTCCATCTCACCCATCCCACCTTAATGTGCCCGTCGTGTGCGATGAGCAGATTATCTGGCTTGATGTCCCGATGCACCACTCCCAGGGAGTGTAGATACTCCAATGCTTGCACCTGGGGGCAGAGGGGTTAAATGGGGTGGAGAGGAGGGCGGAAGGTTGGCAGAGAATACACCACCCACCCCCAGGGAGTGCAGATACTCCAACGCTTGCACCTGGGAAATGTAGGAGAAGAGAGGGGTTGGGAGGGATGGAGAGGACTTGTGGGTTTGCAATGCACCACGCCCACCCCGGGGACCGCAACTACTCTAACGTTTGCACCTGGGAACGGCAGACATCAGCAGTCAACGCCAATCAACGCTAGTCAACCGCAGTCAACCCCAATGCACGCACCAGCTCGGCAGTGTAGAAACACGCACTGGACTCCTCTAGCGCTTCGCAGGCATGCAGCAGCGAGAAGAGGTCGCCCCCATCGAGATACTCCATCACCATGTACAGGTTCTCCCGACACGTGAACGAGTAGAAGCAGTCAACGCCAGTCAACGCCAGTCAACCCCAGTGTGCACTCACCAGCTCAGCAGTGTAGAAGCACGCAGCGGACTCCTCCAGGGCCTCACAAGCGTGCAGCAGAGAGAAGAGGTCGCCCCCATCCAGATACTCCATCACCATGTACAGGTTCTCCCGACACGTGAAGGAGTAGAAGCAGCGCACGACAAAGGGGCTCCTGGCAGAGGCAAGAATGTTGCGCTCTGCCTGCACGCTCTCCACTGCGTTCTTCCGGATCATGTCAGCTTTGCGGAGCACCTGGGGTGGGGGGGAGAGGCGGGGATGGGGGACGGGGGAGGTGGGAGGGGGCGAGGACACGTGACGGAGTAGAAGCAGCGCACCACAAAGGGGTTCCTGGCAGAGGCAAGAATGTTGCGCTCTGCCTGCACGCTCTCCACTGCGTTCTTCCGGATCATGTCAGCTTTGCGGAGCACCTGGGGTGGGGGGGAGAGGCGGGGATGGGGGACGGGGGAGGTGGGAGGGGGCGAGGACACGTGACGGAGTAGAAGCAGCGCACGACAAAGGGGTTCCTGGCAGAGGCAAGAATGTTGCGCTCTGCCTGCACGCTCTCCACTGCGTTCTTCCGGATCATGTCAGCTTTGCGGAGCACCTGGGGTGGGGGGGAGAGGCGGGGATGGGGGACGGGGGAGGTGGGAGGGGGCGAGGACACGTGACGGAGTAGAAGCAGCGCACCACAAAGGGGTTCCTGGCAGAGGCGAGGATGTTGCGCTCTGCCTGCACGCTCTCCACTGCGTTCTTCCGGATCATGTCAGCTTTGCGGAGCACCTATAGGGAGGGGAGGGGAGGGGATGGGAGGGGATGGGAAGGAGGGGAGGGGGAGAGGAGGACGGGGTGAGCAGGGGAGGAGGAAAGTGGGGGTGTGGGGAAAGGGGGCGGGAGAGGGGGGGAGGGGAGGGGGGAGGGGAGAGTGCAACGTGAAGGAGTAGAAGCAGCGCATGACGAATGGGCTCCTGGCAGAGGCGAGGATGTTCCTCTCCGCCTGCACGCTTTCTACTGCAATCTTTCGAATCATGTCCGCCTTGCGGAGGACCTGTAGGAGGGGGATGATAAGGGGAAGAAGGATGGGGGGAATGTGAGTGAAGGAGTAGGAGCAGCGCACCACGAACGGGCTCGTGGCTGAAGCAAGGATGTTTCGCTCTGCCTGCATTCTTTCGAATCGTGTCCGCTTTCCAGAGCACCTGAGGGAGAAAGGGGGGAGAGGAACATGTGATGTGAATGAGAGAAAGGTGGAGAGGGACGCATGAACTAGTGAGAGAGACGCAGTTACACAATTCAAATTCTCACACACACAGCAACAGCTATGTTGACTGGACTGGAGTCACCTTCGGGAATCCTCAAAAGCCACTCACACATCAAAGCATTCTCCCTTTCGTCTTCCCTCCTTCCCTCCCTCCTGATGATACATACCTTGATGGCGAACAGGTCCCCTGTGGTTCTTTTCTGAGCCAGGAACACACGCCCATACGCCCCCTTGCTAATCGGCTTGATGATCTCAAAGTCATCAATTGTCGTGTGCTGCTCCGTAGGGTTTCGGGTTTAAGGCTTGCCCTACCTTGATAGCGAACAAATCGCCTGTGGTTCGCTTCTGAGCCAGAAACACCCTGCCGTATGCCCCCTTGCTGATGGGCTTGATGATCTCAAAGTCGTCAATTGTCGTGCGCTGCTCCTTCTCCCCCATCGCCCCTCCCCCTCCACCGCCCCCTCCCCTGCCCCCCCCCCCCCCCTATGCTCCCCAGTGAGTGGGGGATAGTAAAAGCTCCCCCAGTGGCGCTGGGGTTGCTGCTGGGAGAGGCAGCTGCTGTTGTTTCGGGCCCGCCATGAAAGGACCTAAGCTGCAGCACTCGTTGGTACTTCTCTCTGGGAGAGGACGGGGGGAAGAGCACAGGAGAAGAGACGAGGGGAGAGAGAGGGTAACACGCTGGAACATATATATTGTCAAATCTGATGCTCATCCTATTCTTACTGCAGCAGGATGACAACGCAGAGCCCAGAGATCGGCACCAAGGGGAAGCTAGCACAGAGAGTACCACTACGCATACACAACACACACTGCGTGTGTGTCTGCCATCACACATGTGTGATAAGTGGATTTTTGAGTCGACTCAAAAATCGACTTATCACACTACGCAACGCATACACAACACACACTGTGTGTGTGTCTGCCATCACACATACTCTCTGAGTATGCACTGCACTGAACCCAAGAACACCGTACCAACATCCCATCTCATCTCATCCTTACTGAAGCAGGATGGCGATGCGGAGCCCAAAGATGTGCATGCAGGGGAAGCGGGCGAGCACACAGAGTACTACCACACATGCATATACAGATCTCTGCCTTTTCCGCGTGTAGTGAGTCGATTTTTGAGTCGACTCACTACACGCAGAGTACTACCATACATGCATATACAGATCTCTGCCTTTTCCGCGTGTAGTGAGTCGATTTTTGAGTCGACTCACTACACGCAGAGTACTACCACACATGCATATACACATCTCTGCCTTACATTCATCCTATCCTTACTGCAGCAGGATGGCGATGCGGAGCCCAAAGATCTGCACGCAGGGGAAGCGGGCGGCGTGCGAGCGCAGCAGGGCGGAGAGGTCGTGGATGTCGGTGGAGAGCAGCGCGAGGGCGTCCGCCTGCCCCACCTGCACCTCCCCCACGTCCTCCGCTATGTCCGCCAGATCGTTCAGCTGGGGGGAGGGGTGGGCAAGAGGAGGGAGGGGAGGGGAGGGGGGGGAGAAGGGGGGGAGGAAGGGGGAAAGGTGATATGGTAAGCATGGGAGAGTGGAAGAGAGGGTGTGAGAGCAAGCAGCACGGCAGCAGCGTGCGAGCGCAGCAGGGCGGAGAGGTCGTGGATGTCGGTGGAGAGCAGCGCGAGCGCGTCCGCCTGCCCCACCTGCCCCACCTGCACCTCCCCCACATCCTCCCTATGTCTACTAGGTCGTTCAGCTGGTGGGCGGGTGGGGGGTGGGCGGGTTGGAGGTAGGGTAAGTAAGCACCGAGTGAGCAAGGAATAGAGGGAAAGCAAAGGGTAACACGGCAGCACTCAGTTCCTGCCTGCCCCACCTGCAATGCACCTCCCCCACATCCTCCGCTATGTCCGCCAGATCGTTCAGCTGGGCGTAGGTGAGGAGTGGGGGGGGAAGGAGATAGGGTAAAAGCAAGAGAGAGGAAACCGAGGGGTTAGCATAGAAGAGAGCGCATCTGCCTGCCCCACCTGCACTGCACCTCCCCCACATCCACTACTGTGTTTCAGAAGATTTTCAACATCCTCACCCAAATGATTCCCCCACCCAACTCACCACATTGATTTCTTCATCAATCTCCTCCACAGCCGCACCTGCTCCCAACAGCTCCATGTCGCCTCCCAAGGTGGCTCATGAGCGGACTCAAAGGTCAACACAGAAGTCAACACAGAAGTCAACACAGAAGTCAACACAGACGTTGACTCAAATAGGCACCCAACTCACCACGTTGATTTCTTCATCAATCTCTTCCACTGCCGCACTGGCTCCTAGAAGCTCCATCTCCCTGCCCACACTGCCCCCTCTCCTGGTCAAAGATTCCACCACAGGCACCCTACTGCTCTGGCCTATGCTGCTCATGCTACTACCCCACACCCAACTCACCACATTAATTTCTTCATCAATCTCCTCCACAGCAGCACCTGCTCCCAGCAGCTCCATGTCGCCCTCCACACTGCCCCCTCTCCTGGTCAAAGACTCCCCCCCGGGAAAGCTGCTGCTCTGCCCCCCACCCGTGCTGCTCATGCTGCCCCACGGGCGTTGACTGGCGTTGACTGACGTTGACTGGCCTCTTGGGAGACTCTTAGACTGCACGTGGTGTGATTGTAAGCCGTGTGCTTGTAGAGTTTGACTGTGAGAAGCTGAAGCAGGCAGTGACCTTGCAGTGGCCAGGACTGCTGTTGTTGCTGCTGCTTCTGCTGCTGCTTTTGCCTTTGTTGCTGCTGCTTCTGCTGCTGCTTTTGCCTCTGTTGCTGCTGCTTCTGATACTCCTGTTGCTGTTGCTGCTGCTGCAACCACTCCTTGCGCTGCTACTGCCGCTGCTGCTGCACAATCTGACACCCGGGCAGAATCAGCTGAGTCAGTTGCAGAGGAGCAGGCATTTGGAATACCCGCGCGTTCGGCCTGGGAAAGCACTGGAAGGGAATTGGAGAGAGCATGTTGCTTGGCAGCAGGGGGAAGGCTGGGAAAGGACGCACTGGCAAGACCACCCAGTCGCTTCGCAGCAGAGGAGAGGCTAGGGGAGGAGGGGTTGGATAGTCCTGTTCGCTTGGCGGCAGGGGAGAGGAGCGGGGAGGAGGAGTTAGAGAGGGCGGTTCGTGTGGCGGGGGAGAGGGTGGGGGAGGAGGAGGCGGAGAGGGAGAGGCCAGCGCGTTTCATGAGGGGCACGAGGTCCAGCTTCCATGGGCTGCCGTGTGCCTGGGAGGTGCGCACTGACAGGGGCGACCGCTGCTGCTGCTGCTGCGGATGGTGAGGTGGTGGTTGTTTGTGCTGTTGGTCAACATGTGGTGGCGATGCTGATGGTGGCGGCAGTAATGATGGATGGGTGCCTGCTGCTTGCTGCTGCTTTGCCTGCTCTGACATCAGCTGCTGCTGCTCCTGCTGCTGCGCAGAATGCGAGCTTTCCTCGGCTAAACGCTGCTGTTCCTCTGATGCCTTCTGGGCTAAGTGATGCCACTGCTCCTTCTCCTCTGAAAGCTGCTGCTCCTTCACTCCCTTCCCCAGCTGCTCCTGCCTCTCAGGCCCCTCTTGCAATGCATTCTCTGGCTGCTCCTCCAACAACTCATGGGAACCAAGGGATCTCTGATGCGTCTCAACACTCAGCTTGCTAGACCCAGGTGCCTTCTCATCCTTCTCTGTGTTCTCCTCTCTCTCTCTGTGCTCCACTTGAGCAGCAAAGTTCCAGTCACTTCGAGCTGGCTTCATGCCATGGGGGCTAGACTCCAAAGTAGCATCACCTCCTTCACCAGTGGCAGCAGCATCACCACCATCACCAGCAGCAGTACTAGAAGGAGCAGCAGGAGCATTAGCAGCAGCATTACCAGCCGCGGCGGCATTAGCCGCGGCAGCGGCAGCAGCAGCATCAGAGGCAAAAGCCGCCTCAAGCCGCACAGACAGCTCCGCCACCACCGCATCCAACCCAGCCCCAAGCCTATGTAACCGCTCATCAAGCGGTAACCGCGTGTCGTCGCACCGGTTGGCCAGGGCACAGAGGCACGAGTGCTCCTGCAGGTCCCGCAGTGGCACCTCCTCCTCACATATCCGGCACATCACCACTGCTTCCTCCTCCTCCAAATTCTCCTTTGCTGATGTGCCTCTGCTCACCCTTCCCCTCTCTACCCCCGTGCCCGTTCCGCCCCCTGCCCTTGCTCCTGCCATCGCCCCCACCCCCGCCCCCGCACCCGCCCCGGCCCCTGTCCCTGCCGCAGCCCCTGCTCCCGCCCCCATCCCTGCCCCTTCCCCTGCCTCTCCCTGTGCTCCTATGCCTTCCCCCATCGCAGATCCTGACGCCATTTCCGTGCCTCCTGCATCTGCTCGCACCCCTAGAAGGTTTTCCCCTTCTCCCCCATACATGTCATCTGTCTCTTGCCGGCCCTTCAACTCCTCTACTATGGCTTTCCAATCCTCCTGCCGCCCGACACTGTCCTGCCGCCCGACACTGTCCTGCCGCCCGACACTGTCCTGCCGCCCAACACTATCCTGTCGCCCAATGCAATCCTGCCGCCCAATGCTATCCTGCCGCCCAACACTATCCTGCCGCCCAAGGCTATCCTGCCGCCCAACACTATTCTGCCGTAGAACACTATCCTGCCGCCCAGCACTATCACACCGCCCCCAGAAGCCGTACCTGTAGGGCAGCAGCTTACCTGAGCTGGTCCTCTCGAGCTTAAGCCTCTCTTTAACAATCTCCAATAACACACTCTCATCCACGCCTGCACTCGCTGCTCCTGCTGCAGCTGCTGCTCCTCGCGCTCCCACTACTCCACCCGCCCCCACTGCTCCTGCCGCCTGCTGCTGTTGCGGGGGTGGCAGCTGTTGCTGCTGCTGCTGCGGCTGCTTCTCCCACTCGCTGGATCTATTCGCCGTGTCTGCATACTTTTCAACGGCCTCAGCCGCCTCTTCATCAACCATTATCCCCTCCACTTCCACCTCCCCCTTCCCCTTCCCCTTCCCCTCCCCCTCCTCGTGGACTCCCACCACCCCCTTCCCCTCATCTGCAACCGCCGCTTGCAACTGTACCTTGCTCCCAGTCTCACCACCCATTGCCTCTTGCTCCACCGCCCCTTGCTCCACCTGTCCTTCCTTCACCTGCCCTTCCTGCTCCTCCCTAGGCTCTCCTATCCTCCATTTCCCTTCCCCCACTGCTGCCAATTCACCAGCAGCACCGTCCCAGGTGCTGCCAAGCCCACCACCACTGCTTGGTACAGCAGCATCTGAGTGGCTTGACAGAACAGCAGCAAAGGGAGCATCATCAAAGGGAAGGAGAGCATGAAACGGGGTGCTAATATCACTGCCTCGACTCATCCGAACCAGCGGCAGAAGAAGGATCTCCTCCGGAGGACATGAAAGGGAACCACCCTCAGGCGCTCCCTCAGGTGAAACCTCAGGTGCCACTTCAAGTGCCACTTCAGGTGTCTTGTCAGGTGCCATCTCAGGCGTTTCTCCAACAGAGCCATCATGCACCATCACCGCAGCTCCTCTTTCCAGAGACACATCCTCTCGCACATCTCCTGCTCCTATCACCCCAATCACACCTTCCCCTTCCACCAATGCATCCCCTACTCTTTCCCCTCTGCCCGCTGTTGCACCCCCTCTTTCTGCCTCTGCCAACTTCCCCACTCCGCTCACCTCTCTTGACCCTAATCCTAACCCTGACTTGCCATGCACGCCTTGCCGCACTGCACCCCTCTCCTGCTCACTCTCGTGGTCCCCTTCACCCCGATCCCCCACCACCACCATCTCATGCCAGCCCTCCCACGCTCCCCTACCGCTGCTGCTGCTGCCGCTGCCCTTTTCCCGCCTGCCCTCCTGTCTTGTTTCCTGCGCCCCTACTGCTGCCGATGCCACTGCTGTCGCCACTGCTGCTGTGGCTGCTGCTGCTCCTTCAGATGCTACGTCTGCTTTTGCATCCACTGGTGCACCCACAGAGGCTGCAGCAGCAGCAGTCACAGAAACATCCTTCACACTCTCGTACCCTCTCACCTGCCACCCTTTCTCCTCCACCATCTCTTCCACCACACCATCAGTCTCGATCATGCCCTCTGCTCTTCCCTCCATTCCACCCTCTTCCAGCTCCCCATCCATGAGCGAGCCTGTCACATCATCACTCTCTTGCGCATCTTTTACACTCTGAGGAGACTTTGGAGGTCGCGAGGCAACCGCACTACCCCGCACAGCCTTTCCCTGAGGAGAGATACTTGACTCACCATGAACTACCGCTGCTACAGCACCAGTCGGCAGAACAGTCGGCACGCCATCAAGGCCGCCCACACCCCCCTGGGCGAGTCCCAGGGTGCCGGGAGAGCAGGAGAACCGCTGAGCCTGCAGCTCCACAGCCAGTAGCACCTCCCCCAGTCGCCCACTCAGTGACGCTGTCAGCCTCCTCGGACCCGGGCTCCCCTCCCCTGCTGCCGCCCCTCCCCATGCTCCTCCTGTTCCTGCTGCTGCTACTACTGAGGCTCCTGTCCCTCCCCATGTGGACACACGGCCGCTGCCCCGCTTCCAGCTGCCAGCGCGGATCAGAGGGGGCGTGCGGGCCCTGTCAGGGCCAGCAGTGGCAGGGGCAGGGGCAGCAGCAGGCGTGGCAGCAATCGTGGCAGCACGTGTGACAGCAACAGGAGTAATACCAGCAGCAGCAGCAGCACCGGCAACAGCAGGAGTAGCAGAAGCAGGCACGGCAGCAAAACCCGGCTTTATAGACCCTGCAGCTACCGCCTCTTCCCGTTCCTGCTGGTCCCGCTGCTCCTCCCTCTCCCCCTCCCACTCCCCTTCCCGCTGCTGCTCCTTCCCCTTCCTCTGCAGCAGCAGCAGGTCCCATGCAGCAAGGCCTGCAGAAATGCCCGCACCACCACTCACGATATTGCCAGACGCAGCAGCTCTTGCACTGGCACCTTCCTGGAAGGATCCTCCCCAGTGCTGTAACCTCCTGCCAGATGGTGGCAGTTTCTCGCTGCTTCGACTGCGCTCCACCTGAACATGCTGGTTCACCTGAACCTGCTGATTCACCTGAGACATCTCCTGGAAGCTTCGAGTGAAATCGAGCCACGATTCGCTCGTTACACCTGGTGGTGAAAGCCTGTCAGTCAGCCCCTGAGCTGACCCAGTCAACCCCTGAGCTGACCCAGTCAACCCAGAGGTCAACAGGTCAACACTCCCAATCCCAAGGGGCTGTTCACCCAGCCCAGCTGGCACCACGCCAGCTGGCGACACGTCAGCTGGCGACAGCCTGTCGTCGCTTCTACTACGCATCGCCTCCTGTGCTCCCACCTGCCCCCTGCCACTCCCATCAGACGGTCGAGGGGGGCGCAGCAGGGGCAGAGCAGAGAGGGAGGGGAGTGAGGAGAGCGTGGGCAGTGAGGAGAGGGAGGGTAGTGAGAGCGAGAGCACGTGGTCAAGCCTCCCCTGAGACCTGCTGGTGGTGCTGCTGCTGCCGTCTGTGTGTGTTGGGGTTCTCCTCCCTGATTGGCCCACAGCTCCTGCTGATGCTGCAAGCTCAGCTGCTCCTGCTCCTGCTCCTGCTCCTGCTCCTGCTCCGGCTGTTTTTGCTGTTGCTGCAATGGCTGCTGCCAGTGCTGCTGCGGCTCGATCAACCACGTCAGCATCACCATCAGAAGCGTCAATAGCTGCACCAGTACCAGCAGCACCAGTCGCACCAGCAGCAGCAGAAGCGGCACCAGCAGCAGCAGCAGCAGCTAGAGCTGCTCGTCTGTGCTCAGGACTGTGGAAACTGGACCGCGAGCGGACGGAACGTAACGAGGGTCTCGGTTGCTGCTGCTGCTGCTGCTCTCCCTCTTGGGCCTTGCTAACTATGCTAACTCTCCCCTCCTCTGCTGCTTCTTCTCCTCCCCCTTCTGCTGCCTCACGCCTTTCCCCATCCTTCTTCTGCTGCAGCTGCTGCTGTTGCTGTTGCTCCTCATATCTATCACTCCACCCTCCTAACTCCGGCAAACCACTCCAAACTGCACTGCTCCTCTTACTCCCACTCTGCCTGCTCTCATCCTCGTTATTACCACTCCGATGCAGGTTTAAAGCCTCCTTCCACCGTGAATCGCTTCCAAATACCACTCGCCTAGGCATCGCCTTTTCCAATACCACAGGAATTTGCCCGTCTGATAGTCTGGTAACCAGGGGTGCGTCTGGTTGCTTGGTAACCACATGTAACTCTGCCCTCCTGCTCCTTGCACCAGGTGTTACAGATGTTCCCAGTCTGGCAGTTACCACATCCCCACTTCGCCTTGCCCCAACAGTGCTGACATCAGCAGTGCCACCCGTGTCACTACTAACTCCCATCCCTCCTCCTTCTCCTCCTCCTCCCTCTCCTCCTCTTTCTTCTTCCTCACTCACCCCTCCTTTCCCCATGCTGTTGGCCCTTATCTCTCCACCATCCCCCCCATCACTGTGCCTGCCGCCCACACCCTCTCCTTCCTTCTGGAACTGTAGCAATCTCGTGCATCGGGTCAGGACAAAAAGCAGCTTCATTATGAGCTGGCGCAGAGGGCTTCCGGGCGGCATGGCTTGTCTGGCGGCGTTCAGCTCCTGCACAATGGACTCACTCTGCCGCCCAAAATCGTCTGCTGACATGGCAAGGCAGCGCTCTGCTACGGATTTTAGCTGACGCACTCCCGCCGCCCATTCTGTGCTGCTGATGCTGCCTGTGCTTGGGGTAACGGCGCTGGTGCTAGTGCTGGTGCTGGTGGTAGGGGTTGCAGCAGCAGCAGCAGCAGCAGCAGCAGCAGCAGCAGCAGCAGCTGCTGCAGAGGGAGGCAGTGGCATCACTGCTTCTGGTGTCTTGAAAGAACGGCCCCCACCCCTGATACTGCTACCTGCACTGCTGCTACTACCACCACCAACACCACTGCTGCTGCTGCCGCTGCTTCTCCCGCTGCTGCTCATATCGGTCTTGCCACCGGTGCTACTAACCCCACTACCAGCACCAGCACCATCAACAACGGCTTTACCACCCGCACCAGCACTGCCAACACCTGCAGCTGCAGCGGAAGCAGCAGGAGTAGCAGCAGAGACACCAGAAGCAGCAGCAGCAGCGGCGCTGGTTTCTCCCAAGCCAAACGAAGCATGGCGGGGGCCTCTACCAATGCTTGGCACAGGCGTGACAGGGGTACAGGGGGAGTCTGAGGGGCACATGGGCGAGGGGAGGGGGGACTGCGCGGAGGACTGGGCCGGGAAGGGCGAGGGGGGTGAGTGGGCGGGAAGGAGGAGGAGGGGCGAGTGTGTGGGAAGGAGGGCGAGGGGGGAGAGCGGGTGGAAGATGTCTAGACAGAAGCAGCGCAGCTCCGCGTCCATTTTGTCCTTTGCTGACTCGAGCTTGGTTCGCAGGGCGCCCAGCACAGGCTGCTTGTAAGGAGGATGGGATTGGGTGGATGAGGCAGAGGAAGGGGGGAAGGGAGAGCCAGGGGAAACGGGACTTAATAAGCGGAGCCAAAGTGCATGTGGCGCAGGTCACAGTGCATCTGAGGATGAATGCATGCACGCTCTAGTCTAGTTTTAACCCAAGTCAACCCAAGTCAACCCAAGTCAACGCACCTTGGAGTCAAAGTGCACGTGGCGCAGGTCGTGCTTGAGGCGGGACGAGGGCGCAGAGATAGTGAGGATGAATGCATGCACATTCGAGTCTGGTCTATTCAAGTCAGTCAAGTCAAGTCAAGCCAAGTCAACGCACCTTGGAGTCAAAGTGCACGTGGCGCAGGTCATGCTTGAGGCGGGACGAGGGGGCAGCGATTGTGAGGTCATTGCCTCGCACCGGCACCGCCCGGCTGCGGTTGCCCGTCGTGCGATTCATGCTTTTCAGTCGCGCTCCCTCCGCGCTTGCTAGCATCGGGGCCTGGAGGAGGGAGGGGGGGTGTTGGGGCAAGGCAACGGCGGGACGAGGGAGCAGAGATGGTAAGGTCGTTGCCTCACACCGGCACTGCACAGCTGCGGTTGCCAGTCGTGCGATCCATGCTCTTCAATCGTGCACCCTCGGTGCTCGCGAGTAACGGAGCCTGGAGGATCCAGGTGCAGGGAGGAAGGGAAGAGGCCAGGGGATGGAATGGAGGGTTCTGCGATTGTGATTCATGTTCTTCAGCCGTGTTCCTCTGCGCTCGCCAACAGGTAGGGCCGGAGAGGGGAGGTGGTTGGGGCAAGGGGATAGACTGGAGGGAGCTGCGATTGCCCGTCGTGCGGTTCATGCTCTTCAGCTGTGTTCCTCTGCGCATGCTACCAGGGGAGCCTGGGGAGGGGGAGGGCAGGTAGTAATTCCAGGAGAGGAAGCCAGGGTAGGGAGAAGGGAAGTGCTGAAGAAACGGAGAAACGGAGACTCGAAGAGAATAAAAAGGCAGGGGTTCCCAGTTTTGACGCTGCTGACGGGCTAATGCCGCTCCTCACAGGCTAAAATCGCTGCTCTCCACCGGCGTATGCCACTCTCCACCGGCTAATGCCCCTCTCAACCAGATACTGACGCACTCCCATTCTTACCAGCCCACGCTTGTTTAAAGGCTCTTTTAGGGTTTCCTTCTCCTGTCGCCCCTTACCTGGCTGGCTCCCGTCGCATGCATGGGCGACGGAGTCTTAGAAAGGTCCATAGACACCCTGCGATGTCGCATAGAGGCGAAATTCGCCGACGGTAGCGACGACGCGGCGGCCACGGGTGGCGAAACGGCCGGCACAGCGCTGCTGGGCCCGGACGGCGGCCGGCTAGCCGTCGGCGACGGCCCGCCAGGCAAGGGTTCCGGTAGAGGGTCCTGGCCGGCAGAATCGTCTGCCGGCGGGAGCAAAAAATGAACGGATTCCCGTGCCCGAGGCATCACTGTCGATCAGTCGCTAAACAAAGATTAAGGCTAAAATGCAATCGCGTTCATGGTATGACTTTCCAGATTTTTGCTAGCGTGCAGTTATTCTTATCGAACCGCTGACTGGCTGACCGTGACTCCAAAGAATTAGCCCAGCTCGGGAAAAAATACGGCAATACACAAACGAGAAGGATCCGTAGCTCTGTCGCACGAAAATGTTAAAAAGGCTTGCGTAACGCCGATGTCCTATGAGGAGAAGATGGGGGACGTGAGGCAGAGCTAGCTGGCTATGCTTCGAACGTCGTCAACGTCAGAACCTAGGAGGGGAGAGACAGGACTTGGGACGAGACTCGACGGGACAACGGAGCTCGTTCACGGGACTCGGTCGGGACGGGAGGACAGGCATCGATGTGCACGGGTGGGGAAAGAGGGGGAGTAAAGAGGGGAGGAGGGGTGCCTGACTCCGAAGCGCGTCCGCTGGTTTCGCGTCCGCTAGTTTGTGTGGTGTGGTGTAGTGTACGCGGAGGAGGAAGGGAGGAGAGGATAGATAAGATCGAGATTGGCTAGGCTACTGCTCCACGGGCCGAGCGTGCGTGAACCATCACATGCTCAGCAAAATCAGCGGACCAGAATGGTGTGGCGTGACTGGCATGGGTCTTTCATGGCCACGGGGTTTCCAATCCCAAGAAGCTAAACAACGAAGCGGGAAAAACGCACAGTGATGCTCGGCAGAATCCATGGGTGCTTACGGTGTCTCTTGATGATGATGAATGCATTGACCGTTAGACTAAAAGGGGGTCCTGCGTAGATACAGTCAACTGTACGGGCTTCTGGAATGTACAAACTTGCTGTAGATGAAAGGTCATTCACGGTCAGAGAGTTGCTTTACAGAGCGTTTTCAGCTGACGGACCAACCGCAACAGGCCTCCGATGTACTGTGCTGTATTTGAGCAGTGAGGCAGCAGATTCGTACAAGAAACGGCGACGTTTGACCAATGTCTGGTACTGTAACGCGTTTGGTGCATCCAATGCATGATTCTCTAAAGGCTCAAATTAGCACATAACCCTTACATATGATGAAGAATAATTACATCTGGCGGATTGTGAAAATATATCGTTTTCTAATGCTTACAGAACCAAAACAAATCCTATGTCTCTCGGCGAATAAGGAAGGGAGGTCTATCTATCTGCCCTGCTTGGCAATTATAGGTGTTATGCATGTTCTGGGTCGTAATTGTATATCATCCTTGCTTACAGAACCAATTGACACACTATTCTGTGTATAATTAACCTAATAGTATTGCTGCCGCATCATCCGCTGATGTCTCTCGACACTGGCGGGTTTCGCGGCTCATCTGTTCCAGGGCATCGTCGCACCTGCGACTCGACCAGGCACCTGGCTTCAGAAAGAACGGGACCATCAGCTTTAGATTTCCCCACTTGATTTCTCTGTTCAGATTTACGAACTTGCTGGTCAGGTAATTGACAAAAATCGTCTTCCCTTTCGCACCATTGATCTGCTCCTTGCGAAGCTTGCAGTGCGTGCGGCGGGAAAGGACGAAGTGCGGCTTGTTTTCCCGCCGCACGCACTGCAAGCTGGTAAGAACCGACCTCATACGAAGTGCGGTAGTGCCGCTGCTTCTGTTGGCACTCCTTCTGAGGTCAGCGTATGTCACTCCTGGTAAGAACCGACCTCATACGAAGGCGATTCTGGTTCTGTCAACTGTTCTCGCGTTTTGACCCCCAGCGAGCGCCCATCTTTCTGGTGCCTAGCAAGCACCGCTTGGAATGAAATACTAGGCAAGGTGCTTGAACACGGTAATGCACATGGTTGTACTCGGCGAACATCATTTCCCTCAGTGCTGCCCATTCCCAGACACCTTCTTATCCTGCATGATCTTCCGTCACATGTGTGCTTCAGGCGCTGCTCAGGACGGTACTCGTCTTGCTAATTCACTGTGAAATTTCAGTTTTCTTTTAAAAGCGTTCAAAAAGCGTTTGGGTCCGAAAAGGTGAAAGTGTTTAGAACGATGTCCCTTGGTTTCTCTGCGCAGCGTACTCGCGGTTCGTCTCCCATCGGCGCAGCCTGGCCCTCAAGGCTCTCTCCCTCGTCAATTCCGACTCAACGGATTCCGTCCAGGTGCCAGCGACCAGCGTGAAAGTGGAAGTCTTGACTGGTTCCGTTGTGAATGGGATCGTCTCAGGGGCTGGCGTAATCGGCGAGGGGGAGGGTAACCTTACGGGGCCTCTGCCCGGAGAAGGAAATGGTGATGCGGTTACAATCGTGAGCGCAGGAACGCCGCCGCCCCCCCGCCAGGCGGAGAGCAGCAGGCTCCCCCAGCAGGCAGAGGGCAGGAGGCTTCCCCAGCAGGCGAAGAGCAGCAGGTTCCCCCAGGAGGCGTGTATTAGTGGGCCCGCAACAGCTCAGCATTGTGGTCCTTGTAGTATGTGTGTATGTGCAGTGCACTCTGTGAATATGATGAGCCTTGCTGTGGTTGTGCAGGTGAGTGCTAAAGTGCCCTACGACACTTCGGCATAGACTGGTTTTGTATGGACGCCGGCCGCGTATTGACTGCTACGTCGGTGCCTAGATGCACAGTCATGGAGTCGGCATCCCAAAATATGGGGCGCTATAGGTCGCATGTACATCCTACCGACATTGTCTATGGAATTTCCCTAAGTAAATATTGCAACATTGCTTGCAAGCACCAAGTAAGGAAAAAACGCAGTTCACCTAGTGTGGTACACTACAGTGTGGCAGGGGTTTTTATTGGAACATACACTAGTACAAGACAGACATAGGGACAGCCTGAGTTGCGTGGCCCACAAACAGATGTCCAAGAAAGGAACTACTACATATTTAAATCACTTTGGGTTGATGTTTATTCTATCCTCAATGCTTCACACCTTTCAGAAAAAACACCAATTGTTGGCCATAGTAATCAATCATACCGTATGTCTTTCTGGCGTGTTACGCGGCTCATGTGTCTTTCGAGACCTGCGACTCGTCCAGGCACCTGGCTTCTCGCCGTAACCATCGGCAGCAAATTTCACGAAATGGGCGAAGGTTTACCTCTTCGTCATGCATCAGCGAAAAAAACTTCTCTTTTCGCAGACAAAATATGTTCCTTAGCGAAGCCTGCAGTGACGGAATTAGCAATTCGCTTTCCCAGTTCTACGCAGGTGAAAATGCTTCAGTGTCGGGAAAAAAAGCCAGAGCACAAAACGATTTGTGCCAGCCACCTTCATTCTCCAGCGATGCTCTACCTAGCCTAGAAATACGCTTCACCCGTCATTTGTCACCAGCAGCAATTCCGCGGATTCCTTAGCAACACAAAGAGGCCGCCTCCTTGTGTTTCCCACTTTGCGTCTGGTCACCGTTAGCTGTTCTCCTCGCAAGTTTACACGGCCTTCGAGCTTTTGCAACTCAGCAGTGACGGAATTCACAATGAAGTGGTTTGGGCGAAGCGCGGTCCTGCCGCTGCTTCTGTTGGCGCTCCTCCTGACGTCATCATATGTCACGCCTAGTGAGTTCCGCATATGTCAGCTTTTGGTGAGTTCCGCATTCTTTGATCTGGCGCTCATTGCTCTAGTCTCCAGCAAACACTGCTTGGACAATGTCAGTCGAATGTTATTTCATAGTCACTGTTTTGTCCTGTTAGGCGATTCCGTTTTTTGTGCGCCCGTCTCGCCGTACTTGATTTCACCGTAAGTATCGGTACTGCCCATCCAGACCGTTATCCTTCTGCCAGACACATCCTTGAGTCAGAAAACTAACAATGATTCGGTGAATTGTTTCTCTGCGCAGCGTACTCGCGATTCGTCTCCCATCGGCGCAATCTGGCCCTCAAGGCTCTCTCCCTCCTCAAGTCCGACTCCACGTCGTCCACGCAAACGGAAATCGTCGACGCGCCGACGGAAACCGTCCAGGCGCCAACGATCGCCTTGAAATTGGAAGACCTGACTGGTCCCGTTCTCGGAGGTGGCACCAGCGGGGGCGTCTTGGGGGTCGGCAGCATCGGAAGCATCGGAACCATCGGTAACATCGGCAGCATCGGCAGTTTCGGCCAAGGTAATCGTTCGGGCCCCCTGCCCGGAGGAGGAGACGGTGGTGGTGTGCTAACCTTTGTGGGCGGCGGCGGACTTACGGATGTAACCCTGGGAGGCGGAGGCGGAGCGCGGCAGGCTTCCGCGGGAGGCGGAGAGCAGGTGACTCCCCCCCCCCTTCCTCCCCCAGGCGGAGAGCAGCAGGGTCCCCCTGCGGGCGGAGAGCAGCAGGGTTCCCCCGCGGGCGGAGAGCAGCAGGGTTCCCCCGCGGGCGGAGAGCAGCAGGGTTCCCCCGCGGGCGGAGAGCAGCAGGGTTCCCCCGCGGGCGGAGAGCAGCAGGGTTCCCCGGCGGGCGGGGCGCCGCAGGGTCCCCCTGCGGGTGGAGAGCAGCAGGGTCCTTCTACAGGCGGATATGGCGCGCCATCCAGCGGACCACAGAAGAGCCCAGGCGGAAAGAGCGGGGGCGGAAAGGGTGGTAAGGGAGGCAAGGGAGGGAAGGGAGGAAAAGAGGGCGCACCCTCTGGCGCACCCTCTGGCGCGCCTGGCAAGGGCACTGCCTCTGGCGCACCCTCTGTTGCACCCTCTGGCGGAAAACCTGGAAAGGGAGGGAAGGGAGGAAAAGGGGGCGCACCCTCTGGCGCACCCTCTGGTGGGAAACCTGCAAAGGGTGGCAAGGGAGGGAAGGGAGGGAAGTGAGGAAAAGGGAGCGCACCTTCTGGTTCACCCTCCGGTGTACCCTCTGGCGG